TTTTCCAATATCAACTCCTGGGAAAGCAGGAGGAATTGACAGCATAATAAACACAGGGATGCTCCCAACTTCTAAGACTGTAGTAACAGCCTGCCCCTCTCCAGATTTCACTGCAGCACTGTCAGAGCCGGTTGTGTGTGTGTGTGTGTGTGTGTGTGTGTGTGTGTGTCTAACCTAATGCAGGGCTTGAACTCACAACCCTGAGATCAAGACCTGAAGCTGAGATCAAGAGTTGGAAGCTTAACTGACCGAGCCACCCAGGTGCCCCGCAGGCTACTCTTTTTAAGGCCTGGTTCTCTGGCCCCTTCACTAGCAATTCTTTGGAGCGTCCGATCTATTCAAGGCTCCTCTCTTTTTACTCCTGAACTATAACACTCCTGAGTTGCTTACCCGGCCTCAGTTTCCCTGCCAATCCCGAACGTTCTCCAAGCTTCCTTAGATCGTACTATGCATTTAAAGCTTATCTGTGGAGCACCTGGTGTGTGGCAGGCACTGAGGGTAACAAGACACAGCCGCTGCTCTCCAGGGAGACCAGTAAACAGGAAGTGACAACACACTGTGCTGAGTTCTGTCACCGGAAAACGCACGGGGCCGTGGGACATGACGACCGGGCACGTATCTGGACTGCAGAGGTCAAGGGGGCCTTTCTGTAAAGGAAGCGGTGTGTGAGCAGAGATGAGGGCAAAGCAGAGGGGAAAGGACGAGGTCTGGGCTGGCAGGGGCCGCACGGGGCTTCCCCTGTGTGAAGGGTCCGTGTGAGGAACCGAAAGGAGCTCGGCTCAGGCCGGCAGAATGCAGGAGGCTGGAGGTGCGCGCAGGGAGAGGAGGCTGAGGCCAGACAGGCGGAAGGAGCCCAGGGTCCGTAGAGGTGAGGGGCGCGGGGCACCGCCGCTGGGCTTTAATGGAAGGAGGAAGGGGTACCACGAGTGCGCAGGCCAAACGACAAGGCCTCAGACGAGAACTGTGGATCTCGGGGGAAAGAAAAATACCCTCCAGGCTGAAGCACACCGTCTCAGCGCCGCCGGGCCTCACGCCAGTGCCTCTCAGCTCTGTCAGGAGTGCCCTGTGAGCCGGCAGGGCAGGGGTGCGGAGGGCGGGCGTGAACGCAAATCCCCAGGGCCCCCCGGAGGTGCTGGCCCAACGGTCCTGCGGCTTCTGCCTGCCAGTCCATGACACACAGAGTGCTCGCAGGCACCAAAACTACTTCTCATCAAGTCATTGGGCCAAATGGACATTCCACGAGTCAACGCCATGTTTCTGCTATAGTTCCGGAAGTCCCGGGCATGGCCCTCCACACCCCACTGTATCAGAAGCAGTCTGAATGAACGACAGAAAGAAGGACAAGGCCCTGTGGAGAGGACACAGCCAACGCGAGATCTCCGGTGTCTCCAGCCTGGTTTCACAGTGACTAAACATGCCCCTTCCCCAACGCTCTTCCCCAGGGCCCCGCCTCCGAGAGCCCCCCACCATGTGTGCAGCCCACCCCCTTCATCAAAGCCCCCCAGCCCTGCCCTGCCGCCGCACCGACCAAGCTCCACACTAGCTTCTAAACAGAGTTTGCGCCTCTGCTGGCCTTTAGCATACGCTGTTATTTTTTTTTAATTTTTTAAATGTTTACTTTTTGAGAGAGAGAAAAAGGGGGGGAGGGGCAGACAGAGAGGGGGAGACACAGAATCGGAGTCAGCTGTCAGCACAGAGCCAGACGAGGGGACTGAACCCATGAACCGTGAGATCATGACCTGAGTCGAAGTCGGACGCTTAATCGACTGAGCCACCCAGGTGCCCCTACACTGTTATTTTTATACATGTGATTGCGCTGGGTGATATCTCCCCCTCTATGTTTTAAACTTTATGAGCAAAGAGGCATGTTTCTTATCTCTGCTGCCTATTCAGTGCTGTACCCACAACATGTACCAAATAAAGTTTTATTGGACTGAACGGTTTTGTTTTTTAGTTTTTTAACATCTATTTATTTTTTGAGAGACAGAGACAGAGCTGTCAGCACAGAGCCCAACGTGGGGCTCAAACTCATGAACCGTGAGATCATGACCTGAGCCGAAGTCGGACCCTTGACCGACTGAGCCCCCCAGGCGCCCCTGGACTGAACTGTTTAAACTGGTCCTTCCTGCCTTGTTCTGTTGCTAGTAATTCCAGGCTCTAAAGGAAAGGAAATGCTTAAAGTTGAATTTAGAAATTTAACAGCTTTTGTAGATGTGCCCACAATCTTCAGATACAAGTTATTTTGTGGGGAGCTAACCTACTTTTTTTTTTAATAGTTGTTTTCGGGGCACCTGGGTGGCTCAGTGAGTTGAGTGGCCAACTCTTGATTTCCGCACAGGGCTGTGGGATCGAGTCTGCGTCCGGCCCCATGCTGAGTGTGGAGCCTGCTTGAGATTCTCTTCTCTCACCCTCTGCCCGTCTTCCCCACTGCCCCCCCCCCCCGCCGACTCACAGTCTCTCCCTAAAGACAAAAACAAAAATAGTTGTTTTCTTATTGCTTCCTTAATTTTTTCTTCTTGACATATAGTTGACATATAACATTATATCAGTTTCAGGTGTTGAGCCAACCTATTTTTTATTCCTGGGCATGATATAATTTTCCTTTCTTTTTTAAAAAAAAATTTTTTTTAATGTTTATTCATTCTTGAGAGACAGAGGTAAGTGGGGGAGGGGCAGGGAGAGAGGGAGACACAGAATCCAAAGCAGGCTCCAGGTTCTGAGCTGTCAGCACAGAGCCCGTGCAGGGCTTGAACCCACAAACTGTGAGATTATGACCTGAGCTGAAGGTGGATGCTCAACTGACTGAGCCACCCAGGTGTCCCTATAATTTTCCTGTTTAAAGGTAGACACCAATCACTGACACACTGTTGGTGGGAACGTAAAATGGTACAGCCGCTCTAGAAGATAGTTTGGCAGTTTTTTATGACACCAAATACGTAATTACCATATGACCCAGCAATTGCACTCTTGGGCATTTATTCCAGAGGTATGAAAAGTTGTGTTCACATAAAAACCTGAGCATGAGTATTTATAGCGGCTTTATGCATAACTGCAAAAAATTAGAAACGGAGATATCCTCCAATGACTAAATGTTTAAACAAACTGGTACCTCCACACCGTGAAATGAAAAAAAAAGAACTATTGATATTATTGATACACAAAACAATTTGGAGGGACCTCAAGGGCATTATACGGAGTTTTAAAAAAAAAGTCATCCTCAGTCATATGCTGTAAGAGTCTACTATAGTAACATTCTTTTTTTTTTCTTTAGTGTTTATTTATTTTGAGGGAGAAAGAGTGAGCAGGGAGGGGCAGAGAGAGAGGGAAAGAGAATCTCAAGCAGGCTCCGTGCTGCCAGTGCAGAGCCCGACACAGGGCTCGATCTCACAAGCCACAAGATCATGACATGAGCCGAAATCAAGAGTTGGACGCCCGACTGAATAAGCCACCCGGGCGCCCCTGTTCCAGTAACATTCTTGAAATGACAGCATTATAGAGCTAGAGAACGGATCAGTAGCTACCAGAGGTTAGAACTTGGGGGAGAGTAAGGCAGGGTGAGGGGGTGCAGACGGGAGGGGGGTATGGCTATAAAACGGCAACTCGGGATCCTTGTGGTAATGGAACTATTCTGTATTTACATGTGTGAGAAAATTACATAGAACTACACACACACACACACACACACACACACGCACGGGTGCGTGTGACACAGGGGTGAAATCTGAATTCGGTGGGTGGACTGTACCCACGGCAACTCTCTGGGTTTGATACCACACTCTAGTTAGAATGTCACCTCTGGGAGAAACAGGGTAAACGGTACACTGGGATCTCTCTGTACCCGGTTTGCAACATCCTACGGATCTACAATTAATTTTTAAAGATATTTTTAGAAAGTAGACCCCAAAAGTGGATGCATTTTCTACTGAAGCATCGTGCCACCCTCTTGGGTTTGTAAAAAGAACAGGGATAAAGAAGACGTGATATGGACACAATGGACTATTACTCAGCCACAAAGGAAATGAGATCCTGCCATGTGCAACAACATGGAGGGACCCGGGGTACTATGCTCAGTGAAGTCAATCAGACAAGGACAAATACCGTATGATTTTACTTCTCTGTGGAATCTAAGAAACAAAATGAACAAATAAACAGACTCTTAAATACGGAGGGCACACTGGTGGCTGCAGAGGGGAGGTGGGTGGAGGCCGGGTGAAATAGATAAGGGGGATTAACAGGCACAGGCATCCAGTTATAAAATTGGTCCGGTCCCAGAGTGGAAAAGTACAGCACAGGCACCACAGTCAGTAACACCGCAGCCCCGTGGCCTGCTGACTACACTCAGTGCGGCGAGCACTGAGCGCCGTATGGAATGGCTGCATCGCTATGTTGTACACCGGAAGCTAACAGAACGCGGTGTGCTAATTCTACTGCAATTAAAGATAACGATACATAAAGCCCAAAAATCAGGTTGTTCTTTTTATCAGTTTGGGTGTTTTTGTTTTCAATGTTTATTTTGAGAGAGACAGAGAGAGTACAAATGGGGGAGGGGCAGAGAGAGGGAGGGAGGGAGGGAGAGGGAGAGGGAGGGAGGGAGAGGGAGAGGGAGGGAGGGAGGGAGAGGGAGAGGGAGGGGGGGAGGGAGAGGGAGAGGGAGGGAGGGAGGGAGAGGGAGAGGGAGGGAGGGAGGGAGAGGGAGAGGGAGGGAGAGGGAGAGAGAGAGAGAGAGAGAGAGAGAGAGGGAATCCCAAGCAGACTCTGTGCTGTCAGCGCGGAGCCCAACACAGGGCTCGAACTCACAAACTGCGAGACTGTGACCTGGGCCGAGATCAAGAGTTGGACGCTCGACCGACTGAGCCCCCCCACCCCGGGGAGTCCCTCAGTTTCGGTTTCAGGTTTTAACTAGGTAAGAGCCCAACGCTCCCAAAACAAAAGCGATCTGTCCCTTCCTCCCCCTCCCTTCCCCTCCCCTCCCCGCAGGTCTCCCGCGCACACGCGCTCACCAGTAGTAGAGAGTATAGTTGGTGTCTGGACTTGTTTTCCTTCCAGGAAGCCAAGTGCACTTCATGTAGCTCAGGTTGTGCCAAACGCATTGGAGCTCAGTCACGGCCGACTCAGGGTCCCCTGCAACACGCAGCCAAGGGTTTAGGCTCCTTCTTTCCCTGCCAGGCGGGTCTGCCAATCCCTCTGGGGCACGGGGGATGGGGAGAGTGTCTTCCCAGAAAGCCAGTCCCTGATCGCTCGTGCCATGTTACCCACAAGGCAGCCCAGGATGGAGAAGACCCAAATCTAACTCGTTGACAACTTTCCCTCTCACCCCCCAGATACCAAGGGAATAGCTTTACTATCCCGGGGGACCCTAACTTTGTATCCCTAACTGGAGGCACAGTCTAAAGATCAAAGAGTATTTCAATCGTAAGATAGGAGTACGGAATTCCTAAATGAATGTGAAAATAGAAACAACCCATCGACACCTACCTGTCTTTAAAGAAAACAAGTCTATTGAGTTAAAATTCACCTTCCTGTCTTTGGACCCGTACTAACCCTCTTGTTTCGGAGGCTAAACAAACATTCCTCCTGAAGCAATGTTGGGGAAAAGTTAAGCAGAACGTAACGCCCGGTAATCGTCTGCGGTGGGTTATGACTTTAGGTGCCCTATCATCTTTAGCATCTGAAATCTCGACCTTTCTAAAGCCTTTGGAGTCGGGACATCAAGTCACCAAGTTAAAGGCCTGGGTTTAGAATGCAAACTCACTATCCCTCAGGATTCTCCAAGGGTACTGTACTGAGCTGTCAACCTTCTTACTGGCATAATCCAATTTCGGCTCTTTCAGATTATTTCTTAAACTCCTAAGGAAATGAGAATAGGGGAGGTAAGTTGTTCTAAACCACGCTCCCAGCCTCGTGGTGGTACTGAATTTTCTCATTCTACAAACAGGACTTCGTATGCTTTTGACCGGTGCAAGGCAAGTAGAGAGGATGGTCTGGAGCCCAGGCCACGCAGTGCTGAGGTCCCGTGGTGGGAGAGGGGACCCTCCACACAAGGGGCAACATGATATTAATAGACAGTACGTACACAGAATTTGCTCTTTGCCAGGCCCTATTCTACGCACCTCACGTATACTGACTTACCTAATCCTTTCAATAGTCCTGGGAGGCACGTACTATCACCATCCCCACTTCACAGATGAGGAAAGTGAAGGGGGAAGGGGCTAGGTGACCTGCCGATGGTCACACAGCCAGTAGTTGGCAGAGCTGAGAGTCCAGCCTGGACATCTGAGCGCCTGCGGCCCTCCCCTTCCGCATATGCTCTTCCCTCCACGCAAGCCGAGAGCCAGAAGCAACTAGGTGATGGGTGGGAAGGGAACTGGGGACCAGTGACCAACCTGACTACATGACAGCCGTTCCCAGGGCTGGTCTTGAATTGGAGCAGGACCTGTGGGCCATTTTCATTTTCTAGCAGCTTTCCCCAAATATATCCCATGTATCAAGCTAATCTTTCTAAAGAGGAAAATGGTATTTTGGTTTTTTAAGGCGCTCAACCTGTGAACTGAAGACTCACAGTAACTCAGTTCCCTTCTGCCTCACGAAATGGGTCAGGGCAATGACGCCTGCCTTGCTCACATCACAGGACAAGCCGGGGCGTCTAGGGGGCTCAGTCGGTTAAGCGTCCGACTCTTGATTTCAGCTCAGGTCGTGATCTCGCGGTTGTGAGACTGAGCCCTGCTCCAGGCTCCATGCTGGGCATGAAGCCTGCTTAAGATTCTCTCTCTCCCTCTCCCTCTGGTCCTCTCCTACTTGGACGCGTGCTCTCCCTCTCGAAAAAAAAAATTTTCTAAAAAAGCACAAGCTTATGAGGCTTAATTTAGGGGAGGGGTATATATGTGTGTATATCACATTCCAAAGTATTTATTTTTGAGGGGTGGGAGGGCAGAGAGAGAGGGAGAGAGAGGATCTGAAGCGAGTTCTGCACTGACAGCAGCGAGCCGGACGCAGGGCTCAAACTCACAAACTGTGAAATCAGGACCTGAGCCGCAGTCAGACGCTCAACCAACTGAGCCACCCAGGTGCCCCCACATTCCAAATGATTAAGTGCTATGTAACTATTGGGCACTGGTCCTCAAGTTGTGAGCACTCTGAAGGCAGGGACATCTTCACATTTATCACTGTGTTGTGAGCACCTAGTAAAAGTGCCTGGAACTTACCAGACTCAGCAAATACTTGAAAATTGAACGAATTGATGAACACTGAACATCAGCATGTGGCTAGTTTGGATTCATGCTCTAAATTCCAGCAAACAGTGCTTTCAGCTCTTACCTTCAGGGGGCGGGGTGCACTTTTCCACCAGAATGCTCGGATTGTCACTTTCATTGGTGCTACACTGGGATCCTACTTGCAGACAAATCCTCTCGTTCAGAGGCACTTCTTTCGAACGACGGGTTTCAGGAGCAATTTTCTAAGGTTAGAAAGTTTAAAAATAAAAAGGTGTCACTGTAGCAAACACCCAGAAATACATTTAGGTAATAAAACAGCAGCATGTTCAAATGTGTAAAAAAAAAAAAAAAAAAAGGAAAGTTATCAGATGGCATAGATAGTGACTCTCAACCTGGGGTGATTTTGCCCACCCCCCCGGCCCCCACAGGAGGATAGTTGATAATGTCTGAGAACATTTTTGTTGTCACAACTTAGGAGGGGGCTGCCACTGGCATCTAGAAGGCAGCGGCCAAGGATGCTGCTAAATATGGAACCAGGCACGGGGCAGCTTCCCCTCCCCCTACGACAAAGAACTATCCCGCACCACATGTCAGCAGTGCCACGGTTGAGAAACCCGGTACAGATAAAAGACAATTTCCTACAGTTTAAATGTATGAACATCATGGCATTTACCTACACAACTACCATGCTAACACATCAACTATCTGAAAGCAACTTAATATTTTTTTAATTTTTTTTACATTTATTTATTTTTGAGAGACAGAGAGAGACAGAGCACACGTCGGGGGGGTGGGTAGAGAGAGAGGGAGACCCAGAATCCGAAGCAGGCTCCAGGCTCCAAGCTGTCAGCACAGAGCCCGACGTGAGGCTCAAACTCCCAAACTGTGAGATCATGACCTGAGCCGTAGTCGGAGGGTGACCCGAATGAGCCACCCAGATGCCCCTAAAAGCAACTTTAAAGGACACACAATAATATTATCAATATTCCATTCCTATCCAGACACAGCATCAACATCAAGATCAAGATCAAGGTTAAAAACTGCTTTAAGAATCCATTGATCCCGGTCATTTCTGAGGACAGACGTACAGGAGAGCCTGAGGACCACAGAGACTTTTCATTAACCACGTTCCCGCACTGTTTGACCACGGTGACTACCTCAGCCACGCCCAGAAACGTGAAGGGCTGTTCGGTGCACTGACTAGAATACCACACGCTTATTCTGAAGAGCAGAACTTGGCAGAACTGCGCAAAGCCAGCTCACGGACAGCATACAGATGCAAATCACAAATCTGGCCGTTATGACTTAGAACGGTGAGAAGAGAGGGCTCTTTAGGAAATTAACATTTCCCAAATGGACAGAGTTGGAATCATTCTGAAGCTGCTTTTAGTCAGGGCTCCAAGGAGTTTCCTGTTTTGCAATTGTTTCTGACTCAAGTTGGAGATAGCATTTCCTTTTCTATACCTGCTCCCGGCCCTGAAGTGAAAACGTCGTCATGGCCGCCTCTGTCTGCCACCCTAAGGAGCTACTCTGCCATTTCACAGGCCAGCCACCCGCTGAGGGTAAGGACAACAGGGAGGTACTCCCGAACCCAAGACATAACGGCCCTCTGAGAGGCGGCTAGCAAATCAACAATGAATGAATCACAGCAGACATGGGCCCAATCACGTTAGAGACACTGAAGAGCTCTCAGGCCCAGACAACACAGCACTCTGAAAAGGGACTTACCCGGTCAGCCCCGAAGAAACAAAGAAAAAGAAAGGTGTGTGAGGGAACTTCTGGCGGGCGGGGGGGACTCTAGCTCCAGGGACACGGAGTGTTTCCGCGCCACCACCAAAGCTCTGCCTTTCTGCAGTGGCCTCCGGCGACTCTCAGCCAAACACATTTTCACAGCTCCTTTCTGATCCTTCACAAGAAACCGACTCACCATTTGGCTTTCTTTGTCGTTGCTGCCTACAGGGATGAAACACGCCGGGCACGCCAGCAGAAAGCTTTCTGGAATGGTCTTTTGGTTTTTGTTTGTTTGGCCGTGAGAGCTCTCATGGCAAAGGAAGGAACTGGCCCGAGAGAGAGAGAGAGAGAGAGAGAGAGAGAGAGAGAGAATCAGAGGACTGTGTGCTGAGAAGATGAGGGCTCTCGGCCCGGGAAAGCGGGCACCAGCCCCGGGGTCGTGGGAGTGGCAACACGAAGGCTCCAGATGCAAATGTCGCCACGCTCCCAATTTCACCCAGCACCAGTCCCATATAAAAGCCCCCGAAGGAGAGACACCGGGACCCGGGGGTCCTTGGTAGTTCTGGCGGGGAAGCTGCCTGCGCTCTCTGAAGACACCGCAGGGAACATGTACGGTCAAATGGCATCAATTAGAATCATCCTGGGGGAAAATCCCAGTCTTCCAATTATATTACACATTGTTCCAGCAAGAGGACTGAGGAATCTTATTACACAGAGATTTTTATTATAATCAAATTTTTTTAATTAAAAAAATACTTGAGTACTTACTCCGAACCGTGTATTGGGAGGGGGCATATGAATAGTAAAAATAACCCAGAAAAGAGACGGGGAGGGAGTGATAAAATACTTTTTAAAAGTCTCCCTCGAAGCTCAAGGTTAAGTTAATACTACATCGGCATGAGAGGAGGTGAAACCCAAACTGACGACGATGACAACGACGATGGCCAGGTCCAGCACCACCTCTATCAGACAAGGAACTAAATCCCTTCCGGCAGGGCTCGGTGCGGTCTGAGTGACAGCTCCCATGTGACTTTCAGCTGAGGTGACTCACTCCAAGGGGAGCTGCTGTAGGACACTAGGCTCCGCCCCCTGGGGAAGCTGGGCTCCTTTGAAAATGTATCAAAAACCAAGGCCAGAGCCCTGAAACGATCCCTCCCCGCAGGCCCACCGTTCCTTTGGCCGGATCACACCTTGCCCCATTCCAGATTCCTTTCTCAGTAGGAAAAGAGAGTCGGCCCTGGCTTTGCCTCTCTGGGTGCCTGGACCTGGACAGAACAGCAGCTTTTTAATTTATTCACCTAGTGAGACTTGCCTATCTCTTGGTGATGAAAGAGATCTAACCTGACGCCAGAGCACATGAATCAATGTTCTTTTCACAACAACCAGCCAAAAAAACAAAAACAAAGCCTGACGCCAGATCCTTCTTCGACTCTCCAGACTGGGAAATGAGGAGACACTGCTAACACAATGGGGGAGGGCGGCCACTTGAAACGAATCTTGTGTTTAAAAAAATAAAATAAAATCACATACGAGTCCCTGTCTCTTGTGTTCATGGTCCTCCAATCGGAAGACTGAAAGCAACCTCAGGGGTTTACCCCGTTTAGCAACATAGGACCTCTGGACGGTCTCATAAGCCCCCGTAACGTGTACAAACGATCCTAAAGCTCCCCCTACTTCGATCTGCTTCGAAGCCTATCCCAGACAATTGCATGATGTTAATGCTTTGTCCAAAGGATGGGAAGGGGAAGGGAAATCACTCCCGCCATTCATTCTCAGCCTCGGGACTGTAACCTTCAAGAGGTCGGCCGGGAAGTCTCCCATCACTGATTAGAAGAGAAAATCCGTGTCTATCCCATCCGTGGCCCGGGCCGCGTCAACAGTCAGCAGTTGGCTGGCTGGAATACACCCGAGCAAGCCTCAGGCAGAGGTCACTTGTCATGGTTTCCATCCGGTCTCCTCAGGGGCAGAATGGACGCTAATATTAGACTGAACCATATGACCTATAAAAGCAACCGTTTCGTGTGATTCAACCTCACAAGAAGAAGAAGAAAAACTGACAGTTATTGAACGTGAACTCGGTGCCAGGTGCATCACGAACATCCTCTCCTCTAAGACACGCGCCACTGACATTGGGTCCCGCCCTGGCATTTTACAAACAAGGAAATGGAGGCTCAGGGAGGTTAAGTGACCTGCCCAGGGTCACACGCCTTGAAAGGGGAAGAGGCACATTTTCAAACCCAGTCCTATCTAATCCCACTGCCTCCTAGAGTCGCTTTGAAGTCTCAATTTCTGTATCTCTACGGTGGAGTCGCCCCATTTCTGGGCTACGATATCACTACGTATGTCTACCCTACTGGTCCTTGAGTGTGCTTGGCTGGCTAATGAACGCGGACGTGTCAGAAGAAAAGGTGACCTCTCCTCGGTTTCTATGCGATGCTGAGGCGAAGCACTTAAAGGTCTTTCCCATGACATCTCAAGGGCTGAAGTACTGAGAGTCGCCACTAAGGATCCAAATGCCTGATGGTCCCCTCTTGGGAACAAGAGGAAGCCGACAGAGTGAAAGGGGAACTCAACTCCTGAACTCAACTTCTGCCTTGAGAGCATCTCTCTTTTGATTGTTTGGGTTTTTTTGTTTTTTGTTTTTTGTTTGTTTGTTTGTTTTTTTTTTTGAAGTATGGTTGACCTACTAATTTGGGGTGCACAGCAAAGGGATTCGACATTTATGTACCTTACTCGGCGATCCCCCTGGTGTCAGGTCTAGTCACCATCGGTCGCCACACAGACTTCTTAACAATATTACTGGCCATATTCCCTATGTTGCGCTCTTCATTGTCATGACTTACTTATAACTGAAAGTTGGTGCGGCTTAATCACCTTCACCTCTTCGCCCATCCATCCCCTACTACCCTCAGCTTGTCCTCGGTATCTGTGAATCTGTTTCTGTTTTGTTCTGTGTGTTCGTTTTGTTTTGTAGATTCCACATGAGTGAAATCACATGGTATTTGTCTTTGGTCCATCCATGTTGTCACCAATGGCAACATTTCATTCTTTTTTATAGCTGAGTAACATTACGCTGTATAAATATACCACATCTTCTTTATCAGTTCATCTTCCCGTTGTGAAAAAGGCTGCAATAAACATAGGGGTATCTTTTTGAATTAGCGTTTCCGTTTTCTTCAGGTAAATACCCAGAAGTGGAATTGCTAGATCATAGGACAGTTCTATTCTTTAATTTTTTGAGGAGCCTCCATATTGTTTTCCATACTGGCTGCACCAATTTACATTCCCACCAACCGTGCGGGAGGGTTCCCTTTTCTCCATGTCCTCGCCAACACTGGAAATTTCTTGCCCCCCCCCTTTTTTTTTTTTTTAAGATTTTGTTTTTAAGGTTTCTCTACACCCAGTGTGGGGCTCAAACTTAGAACCCTTAGGTCAAGAGTCACATGCTCTACTGACTGAGCCGGCCAGGCACCCCGATATTTCTTGTCCTTTTGATACTGGCCATCCTGACAAGTATGAAGTGATTGATCTAACTGTGGTTTTGATTTGCATTTCCCTGATGATCAGTAACGCTGAGCATCTCTTCTCGTGTCTGTTGGCCATTTGGATGTCTTCTTTGGAAAAAAATGTCTATTTGGGTCTAGAGATCCTCTTGTTTCTTTAATTTTAGAGAGAGTGTGTGCGTGAGTGGGAGAGAGGGGCAGAAGGGCAGACAGAGAGAATCGTAGTCAGGCTCCAAGCTCAGCATGGAGCCCATCTCGGGGCTTGATCCCACGACCCTGGGATCGGGACCTGAGCTGAATCAACAGTGGCACGCTCAACTGACTGAGCCACCCAGGCGCCCCTGGAGGACCTCTTAAAATGCAAATATTTCTAGGGCACCTGGGTGGCTCGGTCAGTTAAGCATCCCTATGATCTTAGGGTCATGATCTCAGGGTCACGATCTCACGGTCTTAAGATGGTGCCCTATGTCTCCAAGCTGGGTGTGGAGCCTGCTTAAAGATTTTCTCTCTCTCTCTTAAAAAAAAAAAAGGCAAATATTCCGAGTAGCCTCAATTCTCTACCAATGAACACCTAAACCCGGAATTAACACCCCGGCAGAAAAGGGGGAAGAAAGGCAGATTGGTAAGCTTCCCTCAAGAGGAAGCACCTGTTCCATCCTCGCTTTATGAAGCTTTCACATACGTGTTTTTCCATGTCCCAGAAAGCCAGAGAAGAGAGTAGGGCCACACTTCACAGAGCAAGAAATTAAGGCTCAGAGAGGTTCGGTCACTTACCCCAGGTCACAGGGATAGCTGAGTGGCACACCAACTAGAACCGAGCTCTCCTGACTCCCCCTGCCGCCAGGCTGCGTGAACATCGATGAGTCCACGGTTCGCTGACCCAAAGCACTGTCACTAGTATCAGCTTCTCCCATCCGGCCTCCTCACAGTCCCGGACAAACTCGATCCCAACCACCCCTGACACCTCTCCCCCCTTACTGAAAGAAGGCACAAAGATATAAAACAGTTCTGAACAGCTGATCTGACGCTTCGAAGGATCGGTCCGTCAGAAGGGGTTGCAAGGCAATAGGGCCCAAGAGAACATTCCACTGGCTGAGACTGTCATAGAGACCCTGAGATCATCCAATCGTGTTAACAAAAATTCACTTACTTCAGTTGACTACATCTGACTGGAAAGGGCTGAAAGTTCCCCTCGCTTTTCCTCAGGCATCAGGAAACCTAGTCGACCCTATCTACCGCTGATACCTTATTTTTCCGCTTTCCATATGGCCACCTAGTTTTATATCACGTAGTTCTTGCACAGCTGCGTGCATGTCATCAGCAAGACGGTGAGTGGGAAGACTCTGTGAGAAACTGGAAGTGTTATATACACAGAGGCAGGGACACAGGAAGAAATGTCAACGCGACTAGGAGCCGAGGGCCCAGCAGGTAGAGACAGCAGCTAAGTGTCTCCTAACAGGGTCTCTCTGTGCATTTCGCGATCAAATAATGAGCCAACGTTTTCGAATGTTCAAGCGCTCGATTTTTCTCAACAGTCCTTTCGGTCATTTTCTTTCCCAGGTAAAATTCGGACACAAGCCCAAACAGAACTCCCGGGTTGAAGTGAGGTTAGAATTCGGTTTATTCTTGGCTCCAGTTCACAGCGTCCACTTCACCTCATCAATGCAACACACCCCAGAAAACTTACCTTGTCCTGTTTGTTGTCGAAATGACTAAAATACCATAAGGTGCAATTGGGGCTGGCTCCTTCTGGGGGGTCCCACGTCCAGATGACCGTGCAGAGGTTCTCAACAGACACGCTCAAGTTCGTCACAGGTGGCTGCGTCTCTGCTCAAATGAAGCACAAGGAGTACATTCATCAGCACCAGCCAGTGTTCTTTGTGGGTCATTTAGTCCATTCCTCCAAGTCCTGGGGCCAAGAGCAGTAAAGCCGAGCGAAGAACAGCTGACGCGCACCCAGCCGGGCGACGCTCTAGGCTCTCTCCGCGTGCCACTCCACCGCGTCCTCACGACCGCCTTGCGAGACAGGGGTCTCAGCCTCATCTCGAAGATGAAGTGGCCGAGGTCAAGGACACAGAGTCGCTCGCCCCATGTCCCATAGCTCGTGGATGGCAGAGCTCAGATACAAACCCAGGAAGGGGGGCTCCGGGGCCACAGCTTCAACTACTCGCTTTAGTGTGGACACAGGGGAGAGAGTATACCCTGAAGTTTCTGACTCCCTCCCGCAGGAGTTTGGGGTTCCCTCTACCGCCCGCTCAGTGCACACACTCCGATCTTGGCAGTGCCGTGGGGGAGTCTCAGCAGCGTGTCTTTAATCATGCTTGCTAACGTGACCTGGGAACTGTTTTTATAACTTTTCCAAAGAAGTACTGAGAAAGATTTAATGGTCCCTGTCATTCCCCCGAGGTCTGACACTAAACAGCTGGGATTGTAGCTCTGAGTAATCTGAAGAGGGAAGGAGACAGAAGAAGCTGAACCAGTGTGTTAAAAATGTGTTTCAGTTGGAGAAAACCCACCACTGCCTCCACCAAATATTCAGTGACTCTATCATTTTGGACCCAGCTCTATCACCAGGGAGAGGAGTTTTAAAGCTTCTGCCAAAACCAGGGAGAGACACAGAGTGGGGGAAAGGAAGCACCATTTTAGACTTTGCTGAGGGCTTCTGAGACCAGGACGACCGAAATCATTCCTCAAGAGCCTCTGTCCTACGTTTGCAACTTTTCTATAAATTGAAAATTATTCCAAGATAAAGTTTACTAAACTCATTAAAGAAAAAAAACAATCCTGGGGCGCCTGGGCGGCTCAGTCAGTTAAGTGTCTGACTTTGGCTCAGGTCATGATCTCCCGGTTCGTAGGTTCGAGCCCCACGTCGGGCTCTGTGCTGGTGGTGCAGAGTCTGCTCGGGATTCTCTCTCTCTCTCTGCCCCTTCCCCACTTGTACTCATTCTCTCACGCGTGCTCTCTCTCTCTCAAAATAAAAAAAACTTTTAAAAAGGAATAAATAAGTAAGTAAATACATAAATCCTCCCAAATTGTCCAAAGTTGCAAACTTAATCATGATTGATCACTTATGGGCTACAGTTGTCTTAATTTACCAATCCACGGAGTTCTATTTTTTTTTAAACGTTTATTTTTGAGAGAGAGAGAGAGAGAGAGACAGAGCAGGGGAGGGGCAGAGAGAGGGAGAGGGAAACACCAAATCCAAAGCAGGCTCCAGGCTCTGAGCTGTGAGCACAGAGCCCGATGCGGGGCTCGAACTCACAAACCGTGAGATCATGACCTGAGCCGAAGTCGGAAGTGTAACCGACTGAGCCACTCAGGCGACCCTCCAGAGTTCTATTTTATACTCTGTGCCAACACACTGGCGTGCACTGGGCCTCTTACATAATCTGTAAATACTTTATACCATGACCTTCCTCTTCAACTGAACAAAAAATTCCTTTTGTCCCCCAACATCAGCCCCCCAGGCACTACATAGTTGGCATTTCCCCCAAAGGTCAGTTTTATTCATGGTAGCCTGTAAAGGCCCTGGACTTTCAATATCCATTCCCTTTCCCCACAAGGGTGACCAAAGACCCAGCTGTGGGGACGCGCAGCCCACAGCAGGGCCAATGGAAGCAGAAAATTCCCACTGCGCTGAGTGAAAAGCTGGCTAGCCTCTGGAAGCATCGATGGTTCCGGCGATAGTGCTAGTGTTAGGATTCTAAGCAACTTCTGGCGTGCACAGCAATTTAATTTTGGCCTTTCAAACACATCAGCACTTGTGAAGACAAATCATTTGTCAGCGGTAGGGCTTCTGATAAAAACTTTGTTCCCTCTGAAGACTACAGTCTACTTTAGGCTCATCTGCCGTATTCCGCGCTTTCCAGAAACACACGGCAGCAAACTTCGTAACGCTTTACCTTCCTACTCCCACACAAACATTAAAGCCTTGATAATAAAAATTATTACCTACTTGTGGTGATATAATGAACCACACCTCAATTGTCAAGGCAATTTAAGACCTTTTAAAATCTATTTTTGGGGGGCGCCTGGGTGGCTCAGTCGGTTAAGCATCTGACTCTTGGTTTTGGCTCAGGTCATGATCTCATGGTTTCGTGGGTTTGAGCCCCGCGTCGGGCTCTGCAGCGGCAGCACGGACCCGGCTTGGGATTCTCTGCCTCCCTCTCTCTCTGCCTCTATCCCACTCATGCTGACTCTCTCAAAATAAAGCAACTTTTTAAAAAAATCTATTTTTTAACCTCAGTATTTTAGTAGAACAATAGCCTGCACTATTTCCAATCTCTCCGATGGGTTTATTTTCTCTTCCCATCTGTTCTTAACTGTCCTTTAGTCAAATCTTGTCATGGCTTGCATTTTAAGCTACTTGTGGCTATCTGCCATCCGTTCTTCCCCCAGTGGTTCCTTCCATTTCTCTTGAGGTTTTTCCACTTCCTATACTTTAAAAAATACACACACAGAGACACACACGTGCTCGCACACACACACTCAGTCATCCTGAAACTTAAAATACAATCTCCAAATGTTGAAATATATACGGATACATGTGTATGTACATATAGCACACTGAGATATGTACATAAGTAACCGGTAACTGTACTTCTCGTAAAGATCTCTAACAGCTCTGCACATGTAAGACTTAAGATAATTTCCGTACGGTGTAGTTTTGAGAGCATGGACTCTGGGCCCAGAGCACCTGAGTTCCTGCCCCAGCTCTGCTACCTACTGGCTGGCAAGCTACTTAACTTCTCTGTGCTCCAGGTTTCTCACCTGTAACGTGAGGATGATCAAGGGGCGATTCTGAGGATACAATGAGTTAATCCAGATAAATTGCTCAGAACAGTGCCTGGCACAGAGCAAGCGCTATATAAATGCTAGCTATCTACTTGCTTTCTTTCTGAAGAAACAAAACAGTTCTAAACAGGTGCTTTGGGGGGTACCTGGGTGGCTCAGTCGGTTAAGTGTCCGACTCTTGATTTCAGCTCAGGTCATGATCCCAGGGTCGTGGGATCAAGCCCCACGGGCTCTGCAATGAGCATGGAGCTTGCTTCCAGATTCTGTCTCTCCCTGGGCACCTCTCCCCCCAACTCATGCTCGCTCTCTCTCTCTCTCTCTCTCAAATAAAAAAATAATAAAATAGTTGCTTTGGTTGTCTATGAAAGGGATACATGCCCACCGCCTGTAAGAGAGAACAGGTATTTAACTCCAACCGTTTCTCAGAGGTTGATTGCTGGCTTCAGAAAGGGGAATGGGAAGAAGAGAGGGATTCAAGCAGCTCCCCCTGACCCCCAACGTAACTTCAAACCTCAAGAGAGTCAGTATGGTCACCTCAGTAAGATTCCATCCTACTTAGAAGCTGAGCTGGTCGATGCTCTAATAGGTCATGTTGCTTAGGGAACAGTTTGTGCTCTCTCCCGTTCAATCACAGCAGATGGCAGAGGTGTGCGTATTTCGGGAAAAGTTAAGGAAATCACAACAGTCATATATGAGTCACCGCCTCCTTCCCTTACATCCACTCAGTCATCAACGTCTGTCCATTTTCTCTTGCAACATCTCTTTTAATCATCCCAGGCAAACCAATGTGCTCTGCTGGGCCCGCGAGACGGGCTGACACTGGCTAAGCCGTGGCCCTGGACAGGAGGCATTCATGACACATCTTTCTGTCTTTCTTTTTTTTGTTTTGTTTTGTTTTTGGTTTAAGTTTTATTTATTTATTTTGAGAGAGACGGAGCATGAGCAGGGGAGGAGCAGAGAGGAGGAGAGAGTGAATGCCAAGCGGGCTTCATGCTGTCAGCGCAGAGCTCGACATGGGCTCGGCCTCACCAACTGTGAGACCGTGACCTGAGCCGAAATCAAGAGTCAGGTGCTTAACCGACTGAGCCACGCAGGTGCCCCCACAACACCATCTTTCTAGCGGACAACTTCAACCCTAGAGTCCTCCACAGCTTTATATTCCAGCAATTCCCATCACGCCATCAAGTGTCCCTGTTTGCTTCTTCTCTGGTGTCATTTCCCTCACGCCGTGCCCCACTCCGGGCCTTTGCGGGCAAATGAAACTCTCCCACCCGGACCAACTTCGCCAATGCCCCCTTCCTGCCGAGCCGGGCTCCTTGCTGCCCACAAAGGAGCGCCCTCCCACCCTCATTTTGTGGGTCTCTGCTCTGGCAATTCTGCCCTGACTGGGAAGAACTTCTCCACCTACTCAAATTCCACCCGTGCTGAAGGTCTAGCTCAAGTTTTACCTCTTCTGCACAACTACCAGTCCTCACGGCTTCCCCTCTTCTGAACGCCTACAGTGCTTCTTATTTGGACCACACAGTCTGGCAATTAGAATGCGAGTCTCCAGGGGCGCCTGGGTGGCTTGGTCAGTTAAGCGCCTGACTTCACTTGGGTCATGATCTCGCGGTTTGTGAGCTCGAGCCCTGTGTCGGGCTCTGTGCTGACAGCTCAGGGCCTGCAACCTGCTTCGGATTCTGTGTCTCCCTCTCTCTCTGCCTCTCCCCTGCTCATGCTCTGTCTGTCCGTCTCTCTCTCTCTCTCAAAAATAAATAAACATTTAAAAAATTTTTTTAAAAAAAGAAAGAAAGCGAGTTTCCAATATACAATCAATCACTTCATAACAAATGACCTGTCTATCCGTTCGTGGGTCCCAACCAATTCTGCCCTGCTACTCTGGGAGGTGCCCAGCTCCTCTCTGAGCCAAGGACTCCCCTCCCTTCTACAGAAGGAGGCACTGAAAAGACATCAAGGACATGACCTCTGGAGTCTGGCTGCTAGGATTAGAAGCCTAGCTCCACTCTCCTACCTACCAGTCTTGGAGCAAGGCTCTTAGCCTCACTGTGCCTCAGCTACCTTATATCCAAGATGGGACTAAAAGCAGCAACTACAGAATAGGTTTTGTGTAAAGGTTAAATGAAAGAGCACAAGTGAAAAACTCAGAACACTGCCGGGCATAGAGTATATTAAACACTAAATAAATGCTAGTTGTTATTAAGACACACCACCATGTGGACTATCAGCCTAAACAGACTAAACTAAGCTTGTAACCTAATCATCTGTATGGACACTGAGAAGATTAGAGCTGGAAGAGCCCTGAGAACTTACAGGTTCTAAGGTGAGGTGCCTAGGTGACTCGGTTGGTTGAGTGTCCCTCTCTGGATATCGGCCCAGGCTGTAATTTCACGGTTCCTGCAACTGAGCCCCGTGTCCAGCTCTGGGCTAACAGCATGGAGCCTGCTTGAGATTCTTTCTCTCTCTCTCTCTCTCTCTGCCCCTCACCCCCTCAAAATAAAAATAAACATTAAAAAAAAAAAAAAGAACTTACGGATGAAAAAAACTGCCACGCAAGGAAAGGGAAATGATGAGCCCAGAGTCCCACAGCTGGGAAATGTCAGACCACTAAAACTCAAGCCCGCTGCTTCTTTTTTTCTTCACTGTAACTCACTGCAACTTTATTAGTATTTCTTTTTTTAAGTCATCTCCACATCCAACGTGGGGCTTGAACTCACAACCCCGAGATCAAGAGTCTCACACTCCACGGATGGAGCCCAGCCAGAGGCCGCACGATTTTATCAATATTTCTAGTGGGAAAAAAGTTTCTTTATTTTAAGTAACCAAAGTTACCAATGAACCGCGGAGACAAAACCGATTAAGTTGAGGGTTGCTGGTATCATCTAGAAGGCCAGCTGTTGTTTCAGGTGCCTGTGGGAGTCTGCAGAAGGGAGGGTGTTGGAGCAGGAGCGTGAACATCAGGAGACTAAGGAGACAGGTGACCCTAAATAAGTCCCTTGCCTTCTCTGGACTGAATGTCCCCAAACGATTATGGGAATCCGATCTCCACAACGGAACTACACTCCACAGTTCTACACTAACCTACAGAGCTGGGCTCAGTGCTAGACAAGGCAGACGCTTGAATAATTATTAACTGAAAACTTCCAACCTGCCTCGGGCCTCCACTTTAAATGCCACCTTTTCAAGTAAGGGCTTCCCAGTTCACCCTGTTTATAATGGCAAACCCCATCTCCGCTTGGTGTTTCTTCATTGTACTCAGCGCCATCCCACACACCTGATATTTTACTCCCCCCGCCTCCCCCCTTCCCGCCCGCCCGCTCCGGACTCTACAAAGAGCACAGAGGCTGTACAGGGCAGAGGTTTCCTTGGTCTGTTTCACTCACCACTGCATCCTCAGCCCCTAGAGCAGACTGCGTACGTTCTGTTGGCTGAATCAATAGGGGGCATCAAGATTTCCCAATCAATGTCTCAACTTGGGGTTCAAAGCACAACACCCTGATGAAAATGCAATAAGCTAATCGTGGGTGTTTGTGTCGATACGGTAGCAAAACCTCTCCAATGTGGAGCTACTGTGGTCACCCAACGCGGCCACAAGGCCGCTCAAGCCAGGAGCTGTCCGTGAAAAAGGCATTAGCCCCCCACTTTTCCCAGCATGGAAAAGTTGCGGCGCGGGGTGAAGGGTACACGCGAACCCTCTGTAGGATCTCTGCAACTTGTCTGCAAACCGAAAACCATTTCCAAGCAAACAGGTTATTAAAGAAAACAAAATGCCATCCACCCGGATGCTGCTCCGGGTTTCCCAACGGATTTCTCGGACGCCAGAGGGGGCGGTGGCCCTCGCGTCTTTTTCCTACGAGGACCGGGGTCTTCAGGAGTTCCCTTCAACTCCCACCCCCTCGCTCGACCGGCGAGGTCCCCGGGGCTCGCCCCGACCTCGGTCGCCGTCCCCGCCGGGCCCCTCATCCCCTCCTCGGCGACATCGCGGGTCCTGACCCGCCGCCCTCCGACGCCGCGGACAGGTTTCCGTCCGGCGCCCGGGCGCCGGGCTCTTCCCGACCGCGCGAGGGAAGTGCGGCGGCGAGTCGTCCTGCCCCGCCGCCGCCGTCGCCTGCGAGCCGGGAATGCCCCGTCGCTCCCGGGTCCCCTACCTCGAACCCGGCGCCAGAGGTTGCGGTCGCCGGACGTCGTGAGGACCGGCCCCCGGCGCCCTCGGTCGCCGCAGCCCTCGGCCCCTCTCCGCCGCGACCCCGGCCGCCCCCTCCCCCCAGTCCCGGCCGCCGCCGCGCCGGACCCGCACTCACCGGTGGGCGCGGCGCCCCCGCGGCCGCCGCCGCCGGCGCAGAGCAGCAGCGCCCACAGCCCGCAGAGCCGCGCCGGCCGCTCCATGCAGCCCCTCTCCTCGGAGCCCGGCCGGGCTGCGGGCTCGGGCAGTCTCCGCCTCCTTCGCTCCCTCTCCCACTTCCCGGCTCCGCCGCCCTGAAGGCTGGGGGCCGGCGCAGACCGGAAAGGCCGCCCCGCCCACCCGCCGCAGGTAACCCGAGCCGTGCGCCGCGGGCGCGGGCGGAGGGGGCGGGGCGCCGGGGCCCGCGCACCTCCCGCGCTCCCCCCCCCCCCCNCCCGCCCTCCGCCGCCGCCCCGGCCCCGCCGCCGCCCGGCGCCCGCTCCGGAGCCCCCAGCTCGGCTCGGGTCACGCCGCCCTTCCTCGGCCGCGTCGCCGCCCGGGCGCCCGCCGGGCCCGCCTTCTCGCCTCCGCGCGGGGGCGCCGACCCGGGCCGGCGTCGCCGCTGCGTGCGGACCTGCGTGCGGGGGCCTTTGGTGGCGGCGGAGCTGGGACGGGGCCACCCACGGGAAGCGGCCTCGGCCGGGGAGTCGCGAGACGCGGCTCCGGGTCGCCGGCCTCGGAGCCCTAGTTTCCTAAACTCCGACTCGGGCCTTAGTAATCCCAACCCCGTCTCCCACGGTGGGCTCGGCGCCGAGACCACGAGGGGACTTAGCGGGGGACGCGCTCGGCGAAGAGGCCGAAAGGTGTAGTGGAAAGCTGGTAATCCATGAGCTTGAGTCGGGGTTGGGGGAGAGCAAAACTTTTAATGCGAAGGACAGTGTCACACGATGTGTAGTTCTTGCGCTTTAAAAGCGCACAACCAACTCTCTACGTATTTCTTTTTCATGGGTTTAGAGGATGGAAGGGGGGGGCCGAAGGACACACAGTACAGACAGTGGGGGGCTGTGAAGGTCAATGAGGCGGGGGATGGAGGGAAAATGGGAACCCTTGTACTTTGATTAGAGTTCTGGAAGTCAGAAGTCTCACTGGGCCACAATCAAGGCGTGAGCAGAGCTGTTGCTCCTGGAGGTTCGGAGAGAAATTCCGTTTTTAAAATGTTTAAAAAATGTTTATTCTTGAGAGAGAGCGAGACACAGCCGAGCGGCGGAGGGGCAGAGAGAGAGAGGGAGACACAGAATCCGAAGCAGGCTCCAGGCTCCAAACTGTCAGCTGGATCCGGGGCGCGAACTCACCGATGGCGAGATCAGCACTGAGCCTCCCAGGCGCCCCGAGAGAGTCTGGTTTTAGCTTCTAGAGACTTCCCAGGTGCCTTGGTTTGTTGCTGCACCACTCAGGCCCCTGCTTTCCTTGTCACCTCTCCTCTGATTCTGACCCTCCTGCCTCCGTTTTTCATTTATAAAAACCCTTGTGATTAGACTGGACTTACCAGATCCTTGCTGATAATCTCCCCGTCTGAAAATCCTTTATTGAATCACATCTACAAAGTCACTTTTGCCTTATAAGGTAACATATTCACAATTGTCTGGGACTAGGGCAGGGACAGCTTTGGGGAGGGGCATTATTGTCTCACCCCCCCCCCAAGAGGGTGCCATCTGGATGGATGAGGAGACCCACTAACCTAGGTGTACTCTGGTTGAATTAAGCCAATGTATGCACCTGAGCTCTGTTGCAAAAAATATATACCGCAGTAACTGCCCGTAACACACTAGACGCTACCGGAAAGGCATGGGGATATTGAACCTATCTGAAACAAAGGCCCCACTCTTAGAATTGTGGTCCTCGGGTTCCATAAATATTTCCTGGCCTTTCAGGACCCGTGGTGGCCACTAATTAAAAGCAGGCCCCGCCAACAGAGAGCAGCAGCCGGGGGGGGGGGGGGGGGGGGGGGGGGGGGGCTGCTATCATAAAGGCAAAAGCAAGGAACTATGGGGCACAGAGAAGGGGTCACCCTCTGGGAGAGCAGAAGCAAGGGAGGCTTCCAGAAGGCAGGCCTGCCTGCACAGAATCTTGCGATGCTGTCTTGCGTTCGAGGTTCAGAATAAATCCTTGTCTGCATATGTTACTGAACGACATAATATTTATGAGAACGCTTTGTAAACTACCGAAGCTGGTGGAACTGAGAGATAGTACCGTTATTTCCAAATCCCCCTGCAAATAAGCCAGCCACTCTCTAACCTAAGATTCCCCCCCCACCCCCATCACCGCACACATGCACTTGTTGACATTGGCTATAAACATTATACAATAAGTTTATAATAACATTTCCAAAATGGTTATGTCATCTGCCTTGTAAGAAGTCTCCACTTGGAACGGGAGGCCCTAGGGACTGGCTTAGTGCCACCGTGGGCACTGTATGGCAGAGTTTGAGTGAGTGCTTAATGAAATGAACAGTAATGGCAGCAAATGATTGGAAAAATAAGCGTCATGACTTGTCATTAGCGTCGAAAAGTCCCTGGGACTTAGAGCACTGTGAGGCGAAAGACAAAAAGAGCAGTGGCATCGCCATAATAGTACTGGCCTGCTGACCACGAATATGAGTGTTCTAACCAGTTCTACTTCCTCCCTAGCCTAAACTTGAAGCAACGCTTTTTTTTTTTTTTAAATGGTTTTCGGGGCTCCTGGGTGACCCAGTCAGTAAAGCATCTGACTCCTGGTTTCCGCGCAGGTCACAGTCTCACGGTTCCTGAGTTCGAGCTCCACGTCGGGCTCCACGCTGATAGTGCAGAGCCTGCTTGGGATTCTCTGTCTCCTTCTCTCTCTGCCCCTCCCCCACCGTCTCTCTCTTTCAAAATAAATAAACATTAAAAGACATTAAAAACAAAAAAATGTTTTGGGGCACCTGAGTGCCTCAGTCGGTCAAGGGTCCGACTTCGGCTCAGGTCACAATCTCAAGGTTCATGGGTCAGTCAGCGCCCATCAGGCTCTGTGCTGACAGCTGGGAGCCAGGAGCCTGCTTTGGATCCTGTGTCTCCCACTCTCTCTGCCCCTCCCCCACTCGCGCTCCATCTCTCTCTCTCTCTCTCTCTCTCTCTCTCTCAAAAATAAACATTAAAACATTTTTTAATGTTTTGGAGGGGGTGGTGAGATTTAGGAATGCTGTTTCTTCAACGTCAATCTTTTATTCGTAATTTCCGTGCACTTTTACTTAAAGAGCATCTTAGATTGGATTAGGCCACTGCTGTGTTCTGCGGGAAGATAAAGACAAATGGAAGACTTCAGGAATTGCCATCAACAGCTCTTATTTGGGCTTTGTGTAATCAAAGTCATAAGGGGTCCACGTCACGTTCAGCTCTAGTCCTTAATTCGTCGAGCCCTGATGATTCGGCCGCGACGCCACCAATCGTCATTCTTTTTGCTTTGGCCTGACGGGACTGGCGTCCTGGGCTGACTTATATACCTCGGCCACTCCAACCGCTTTTTGGATCTTTACCCTTTTCGCTAAGGCTTTCTCCTTTTTTGTAAGGGCACAGATCAGAAAATATCTGGGGGGAAAGAATGATGTACCTCTTTCCACAGTCAGGTCTCCTTCCAGCCTATTGGAAATGCCCTCCTGACTTCATAAACGACACAGACATCAGCACGTATACCAAGAATCCGCCCCTTAGGTCAAAAAATCTCGCAGAGGGTCTTCTACCTTTTATGAGGCAAAACCCGAGCAGATGCTCACCGCCGCTGCAGTGCAGAGAGAAGGAAATAGCAAAGAGGGAATTTCCCTCCTTCTGACATTAGCGCAGTGGTTCCCAACCGAGGTTGGTCTCTTCCTCCCTGGGGGACATTTGGCAATGTCTGGCGATATTTTTGGTGGTCAGCCCTTGGGCTGGGGGGGGGGGGCGCTACTGGCATCTAGTGGGTAGAGGTGAGGGATTCTGCTCAACATCCTTGCTTTGCACAGGACAGTCCCTCCCCCACCAAAAAAAAAAAAAAAAAATTATCCAGCTCAAAATGACAATAGTCCCAAAGTCGAGAAATCCTGAGCTAGCGGACTCTTTGTTTCTTCTGGACTTGGCCCCCTATCCACCCGTTGTCCCCATGCCCACCACGAATGAGTGAGAGATGAATACTACAGGTACTTGTCCTTGATACCTCCCTTTCCTGTGTCTAGTGCGCGTGACCTCCCCAGCCCTGCTGGCCAGCCGTGCACTCCCTGAAGTCACAGAACAGCTCTCAGGGCTATTCTCCTCCTTCCCCACCTCCACTGTTCCAATCAGGTGCCTTATTGCCTGTCCCTGGTACTATTGCGAGAGTCTGCACATCTCCCCTCCACGAGCCAAATCTTCCCAGTGTGCAAATCTGATCATTTCACCACAGAGAACTTGAAGATGAAGGGACGTGGTCAGTGTCGTGACGTACCATGCTCTCAGTGTCTGGGTTGCATGGACTTGAAGGTTCTTGCTCTTCAGTAAGTGGTTTCCTTTTCTTCTTTTTCTTTCTTTCTTTTTTTTTTTTTTTAGAGAGAGAGATGGCACAAGCGAGTGAGGGGCAGAGAGAGAATCCCACGAGGGGCAGACGGGGAGAGGGAACGGGGAGAGAAGCAGGGCTCCCCTAGGGCTCGTATTTTACCAGAAGCAGGGCTCGAACTCACAAACTGTGAGATCATGACGTGAGCCGAAGTCAGACGCTCAACAGCCGAGCCACCCAGGCGCCCGGTAACTGGTTTTCTTCTACAGGTTTGGTGAAGCTCACTCAAGGGAGTGCTGTTTGCACAAGGGGCTTGGGACAGGACCCTTTGGGTTTTAGCCTGAGGCAGAGAGGTGTGGTGCTGGGGTATCTGTCTGGGTCAAAGTCCCGAAGCCCATCCACCTTTAGGTCTCCAAAACTTACACTGGCTGTTAAATGGACCCTCGGATTCCACAAGGCACCCATCTACTCAGAACTGTCCACAGGTCTCCAAGGCCCTTCCCTATCCCCCCTTTTCTAACCTCATCTTCCACTGCTCCGCCCAATGCAAGCTCCCCTGGCCACACTCACCTCCCAGCAATTCCTATTGGGAGTCAAGTGCACTCCTGCCGCAGGGCCTTTGCTCCGCCTTTTTCCTCTGCTATTTGCCAGATGACCACAAGTCTTACTCCATCACCTCATTTAGATGGCTCACTGAGGCCTGCTCTGGCCACCGCATGGAAAATTGCAAGCCCCACCAACACTCACTCCCTAGTCCCCTTTCTGGGCCATTCCGCCCTGTTCCACCGGA